TGGGCGAAGGAGTCGTCCCCAGTCAGTGATGTATTTAACCAAGTAAGGTTATATCTAAATCTAATATACTTCTGGAAGCGAAGACTAGCTCGAGGGTCTGGGTAGCGTAACTGGTAAGCGCGCCGCACGGCAAGCGGAGGCTGCGGGTTCGAGTCCCGCCCCGGGCCAGTTCTTTTATTCCAGAAGATTCTAAATTTATTTATTGATTTATTTATTTAATTATTAATTTACTTAAGAGATGGCGCCTAACGTCTACCTCTAGTGTCAAATTACTTTATTCCAATCATTTAATTAGCCGTATTATAGCCCGATATTTAGGCGATCGTTTGGTGATGTATAATTTCATTTGTATAAATATCATCTGTTTTACAATTACACACACTTTTATTGAAAAAACATTTTAAATATACAATATGTTATCAATTGAGCCATTCACAAGCCAAATCATTTGTAAATCCTTGATATAATCTTTATTATTCTTACATTTTTTGCTTAACTAATTTTATATATCGTTACATTAAAGCTATGCTTTAACATAACACAGTATATAAAGAGACATTCTACGATGTTTATTTAAATTTAAAGTTTAAAAGGAAGTTTTTTAAATAATTTATATTATCAACATTTTATGGAGTTAATTGATTTGGCAAGTGAGTGAGCAGCTCAATTATCCCTGAACAGATTATCATGCATACTTACATCTCAATAATAATAATATTTTATCAGCCAATATATCAGTTAATATTTATATTCCTACATGAGGAATATAAATATTAGCATTAAAATAAAATTCTGCTTTGTTAACTCTTGCTATTTAAAATGGCAATAACAAGACATAAATTAAATGGCTTGAAAAGTATAATAAATGCAGTTTTGATTCTTGAACAATATAGCTTTACTTATGTGTATATTGTATTTTTTTTATTAAATAACTTGTAAAATTGTTAGAAAAAAATATTTTGAATCATTTCTTTATCAATAAATCATTAATATCACAAAATTATTGATGCTTTACAATGATATCTAGCTGACAACTTTCATTCTTGGTTAATAATACAAGAAATTCATAGTGAACTGCAAGGTACTAGTTCAAAAAATTTTTCTGAATTTTCTGTTTATGTCAAAGTTTTGTTCAATTCTGATCACATTTAAAGCTTATTAATTAATTATCATTCTCAAAATGCATTTTATTCATAATATATAAATTATTATATTAAATTTAACATGAAATTAAAAACCAAATAAAATAAAAATTGATTAGCTTTCATTAAAGCAAACTTGC